AGAGTACAAAACATTTCCCTGGCCCTTTTCCCTTTTTTTCAGCCGGGTAAGCAAGGAATCATGCTTCTTTTTGGAGAGCATGAAATTACACTGGGAGGGTGTCCAACAAGGAGATCCTCTTGCACCTTTTTTTCTGTATAGCATTTGGGGGAAAAATCACATCAGACTGACCACGAGCTAAACTTTGGTTCCAGATATGGCCACTAGAGGTACAAAAGGCCCCCTCTACCTTACACGGGGAATGCACGGGGACGGGAAAAGGGTCCATCCTAAATCCACCAAAAGTGAAATCATCTCATCAGCCAAACAAGTGAAAAAAGCAGTGAGATAAAAACTACCAGGAAGACAGTCATTGCCCCAAAAATAGTGTCTTCTAGGACACCTCTGGGAAGCAATGCCTTTGACAAAATTTTCCCCGGAAAAATTGGGGAAGGTTAAGGGGAAAGGGAACAACAAATGGGCAATTGGACACCCACGATCCTTGTCCCTTTCTCACAAAGGCTTGGTCTGCCCGGGTTTGCAATTTCCTAAGATGTGCACCTTCATAGAAACCCTATACTGCAGAATATGACAGTATTCTGAGGCAATTTTTACGAAATCTTAACCTTATCTAGAAGGGGGCAGGGGAAACCCAAGTACATTTCCTCAGACTAGGGGGCATTGGGCCGCAAGTCATCAAGATTGCGTTACCTGCTTTTCTGCCCTCGTGTATTGCATCCAAGAGTTTGTAGCAGCGATTCTCCCAACACTTAGGGACAAGTAGGGTCCAGGACCAAAAATTCATTGCGGACAAATGAGGGATAATCACGGCTCGGGAGCCAGACCTGCCCCCCCAAACAACACAAACAATCGCACTGGGATGGCCCAATAGGGGAAAAATTTTGCCTCAACAATGTTCAGAGGTGTCGGGGAAAGGAGGCCCGCCTCCTGGCAGTGGAGCCCCTCTGCTGGGGGCTTTCTTTGGCTGTTCCCCAAATCCACCTTGGCACATCTCGACCCACAGCCATCCGCATGGTGTTTTCCCTTTGACTTGCCCCCCCCTATTTCGCCCAACACAGGTTTTTATTTGTGGCAGTGAAGCACAACCGATTTGGGTACCATGGTCTTGTGTGCCGAAATCCGAGGGAAAGATTGCAAAATAGGAAGGTTTAAAAACATTTTCAAAGGGCCCCCCAAAAAAGCTGGATGCCCAGCAGAAGGGAGCCACCCCAAATAGCAGATCTGATGGCAGCCAAACGTCCAATGGTATACCCTTAAGCCCGGGCAGATGGGAACAGGTGGTGGGGATATACTGTGCACTACCTTGGGTGTACCATCTCCAATACCCAGGGAGGGAAAGGGGGGGCACTGCCAGCTTTTAAAGGAGTCCCAAAAGTCTAGAAAAATTTGGGGAACTTGCCCTCATTATTGTTTTTTCCCATAGCTCAGAACCCTTGGGTCATGGGGAAAAGTGCATCTAAATTCCTTTAAAGGAGCTGGGAAAAAATCCAGGGAACTAGGATCCCCGGGCAGCTATTTTCTGTTCCAGCGGCTCAGTGCGGCTGTTCAAAGGGGTAATGCCTGCTGTATTTTGGGCACAGCCCCCCCTGAGGAGCTGGAAGGGTTTTCGCCTTTTAATCGGTGTACACACGTAACAACAAATTTCCAATTTCCACCTTTATACAACAATGTATCTTTAAAACTTCTGTACCCTATTATGTAAAAAATATTCCTATTGGTAAAAAAAATATCAAAAGTGGGGGTGGGGAAGTGGAATATTCAAACGCTTTGGAAGAAAACCAAATATTCTCCTTAAGTCTTTTATGCACTTCCAGGCTGGGTCCCACAATTTACAACCCCGAGGTGACCCCATCCTTTTTTATATAAATATATATAATAAATTTTTAATTTTTAAAAAATTTAAAATATATATATATATATATATATATAAATTTTATTATTAAATATAAAAATTTAAAAATATATAAAAATGAAACCATTTCAAAGACAAATTAAATGACCTGAAAAAAAATGGAATCTGTCATAAAGATCGGCAATGGGGTCAGGGCAAACCCTCCCAGTGTGATGGGAGGGACGGGGTGTGCCAAAGCAAAGCAATAGCTTTACCTCATTTCTGTTTGTGTTCGCTTCCTGGATTAAAATAAAAACAGGAAAGACAAATTTTACATCCCTTAACCAGGATCCCTTTAAAAATCAGTACCAGCAGGGTAGTTTGTTCGTGATCCCAGGGCCTGTGGGAGTGGGAGGCCAAGGCTAATTTCCACTACCCCCCGTTTGAATAAAGACTTTATAAGCAATTTATTTTCAAGAAACCACTTGTTTCTTTTTTAATTTCTATAAAACTGCTTGAGGAGACTGGTATTCAAAAGTTAGGTTTGGGGTGAAATTAGCTTTGAGCTTATACTACCAAAGTGTCCCCCGGATCACGAACAACTCTTAGTCTCTGGGTGGTGATCTTTGAAGTTCATGGTTTTTAAAAGGCGATTTAACACTGTTCTGTCTCTTGAGGTGGGGAACGTATGGGAGGACTAAACCTGGCTACTGATTTTCGGTAAATTTGGAAAAAAAGAAAATAGTGGTAAGGTAAGGTGGTGTAAAAGTAGTAGAAGGGAAATGTAATAGTATAAAATATGGGAGTATTTAATGGCAAAAGGAGAAAAAGGGGTGTAGGGGGAAGGGAAGGAATAGTAAAGGTAGTAGCAATGGGGCCGCCTATGGAAAAAAGGATCTGAGGAGAGCTAAAGGCCCACAAGGGTAGAACCCAAAAACACGGAAGGAAGGAGGGAACTGAGAACAAAACTAATTAGAGAAAAAAGCAAAGAAAAAAATAAAAAAATAGGAAAGAAAAAAAGGATCATGGAAATCCTATGGTCTGAAGTTTTGGGGCATTTACAATAAATGAGTAGGAAGGGATCTACAGACACAACCCCACTACTAACATTTATGCAAGGATATTTGTGTTATAAGGGAAGCTTCAACACGACGGCGACTGTAAAATGGTCCAAGACGAACCGAAACGTCGTCGTAAGTTTCAGTCTCCTATATGTGGGTTATTTGTGTATTGTCCCAGTCATGGTATTGTGCCTTATAGCTAAGATTTCTTTTACTAAACTTTCTATCACTTAAAGTTTGAAGAATATCAGAAACAGCATTTTCCAGTAACTTACCTGAATCTAACAAGTCCAAGATTTTTAATGTCAATAAACTTTGAAATTATTACGTACTCAATTTAAATTCAAAGGAGTAACAATTAATGAATGCATTATCGTATATATTTTGAAGCCGATCAGAAGAGGTTTCGCAGAGTTATCTGACGGATATGCTGAGATGTTTTTCCATTTACAAACATAAAAGGTACTATCTTGTCCATGTGATGTATAAACCTGAAATACTGAATGGATTTAGAAGGGGTAGACGTGAACATAATTACCATGGTTAACAGAAATAAAAAAAATCGCTGTTTTGCACATAATATTGGCAAATGTGCTATAAACACATACCAGTTTCACTCTCCACTGACATCGATATAGGAAACACCTTTTTGGAAAGTTCGAGGCCAAACAGTAGAAGCTTTTTAAAGTTATTGGACCCATTTCAGGCATCTTAGAATGGACAATTTAATATTGGTCATAGTGCTCCTCTATTGGCCAATAGTTTCATGAACACTTCACCACTGCAACGAACCAGGGCTAAAAATTTTTTTAATAAATTCGAGAACATATACTGAATTGATAAGCAAAGGTTTGGAGGACGATAACAAAAAGAAATTAATTTAATTTCTCGCTCGTGTCATCCTCTATGAAACTATTCGTGAAGTTGACGACTCTTAAAATGCCATACTAAAGATCAAAAGTTTTAGCTATCCATATCACGTCTTGCACCGAATACAACAAAAATTTCCTCTTATCTTAAGACGACACAAAATAATTGTTGTGACAAAATGATTGTCTGGACAAAATGATTATGTGGATAATAAACTCACAGATTTCTCTGCTCGTTTTAGCCGTTCAAGAAGTTCAAATTTTCCAAATTAAGATCCCAATTTCTGATTTTTTTTTTTTTTTAGCCTTTGAGATTGCTAGCTTAGTCTTTGGTCTAAATAACAAGCAAGCTTTACATTTTCAAGTGTCAATTACGTTACTTGGTATCTGTGTTTCAATGCTCTCGGTCACATTAACTTTTATATTATATATTGGACATATGAAACTCACAAAGACATTTCAATGAACAAACTTTGGACACCTCACTGAGGTATCTGTTATGGTGAAACTAAAATATCTATTAAATAAATTTCCTACCGCGCAGAGAGAGTGTAGACTTCACTTCAGTATCCTGACGTACACACATCAGCTGCCCTTCCCTCGGTACATCATGTAGACTTTGTTAATGGATCTTTACGAAAACTTACCTATTAAATAAATAATGACTTTCATACGTCACACTTATAACTTACCATTCACTTCTTTATCCCCCTAAACGAAAACTTCACTGTATGACCCATTAGGTTGAACCGTTTTTTCAATAATAATAAAGTGTGGGGACAGTCATCATCCAGTCGACAGCAGCACACTTTAGTAGTAAAACTAGTGTTTTATTGGGCTACTGGAGAGGAGGATTCAACAGTATCTTATTATTGATTTTGTGTTGGATGTGACAGGGGTTACAAGTCAACTACGTAAACGAAACACAGCTGAATATTATCAATGTCTGGTCACCTGTGGCATTAAACAAATCGGGAAATCATATAAATCTGCCAGAAAATGGTCAATGTTTGATCACTTGGGGCACCAAACAAAGCTGGAAGGTGTCAATGTCTGGTGACCTATGACTCAAAACACAGTTAGAAGTTGGAAGAGTGTGTGGTGACCCTTTATACTAAACACAATTGAAACTTATATAACATTTCATCTCCCGTTTTTCCTAAACATGAAATCTTATTATAAACTTAAAATAATATCTGCATTATCCTTATTATTATAATATTGAACGACACAACGTACCACTGCCGTGTATGTAACGGATGAGAGCAGAAAACACCTCAGCGTCATTCAACTTAACCAGGTCACCGCCAATACTCTTACAGTGGGAACGCATCGTGTCCCAGGAGCCAGTGTTTACTAAGTCAACATACATACAACGTCCTCCAACCTCACTGAAGGGTGATGAGCAGCTCACACCTGAAAAAACACTAAGTGAATCCTGGGGTATAATATACAGACAGACGCAAGCACGCACATGCACACACACACTCACACTCACACCCACGCACACACATACAACACACACACACACACACACACACACACACACACACACACACACACACACACACACACACACACACACACACACACACACACACACACACACACACACACAGACTTGTATAGTATGTAAAGTCATGGAAAAGATTATCAGGAGAAAAGTGGTGGAACACATTGAAGAGATTGGGCTCATACATGACAGTCAGCACGGCTTCAGAGATGGGAAATCCTGTGTCACAAATCTACTTGAGTTCTACGATAAGGTAACAGAAGTAAGACAGGAGAGAGAGGGATAGGTAGAATGCATCTTTTTAGACTGCAAGAAGGCTTTTGACACAGTACCACACAAGAGACTGGTGCAAAAATTAGAGGATCAGGAAGGAATAACGGGGAAAGTAGTGCAATGGATCAAGGAAAACCTTACAGGAAGGAAACAACGAGTGTTGGTACGTGATGAAGTGTCGGAGTGGGCGAATGCGTCGAGTGGGGTTCCACAAGGTTCAGTCCTAGGCCCGGTGCTGTTTCTTGTATACGTGAATGACATGGCGGAAGGAATAGATTTAGAAGTGTCACTGTTCGCTGATGATGTGAAACTAATGAGGAGAATACAAGAGGGAGAGGATCAGTTAAGATTACAAGGGGATCTGGACAAACTACAAGTATGGTCCGACAAATGGCTCCTGAAGTTTAACCCCAGTAAGTGTAAGGTCATGAAGATTGGGGAAGGACACAGAAGACCGCAGACGGAGTACAGGTTAGGAAACCAACAGCTGCAAACGTCAATTAAAGAAAATGATCTTGGGGTAAGCATTATGACGAACATGTCCCCTGAGGCACACATCAATCAAATAACTGCTGCAGCATATAAGAGATTGGCAAACCTGAGATTGGCGTTTAGACATCTGAGTAAGGAGTCATTCACGACATTGTACACAGTGTACGTAAGGCCTATACTGGAATATGCAGCGCCAGTATGGAACCCTCCCTTAGTCAAACACGTCACGAAATTGGAGAAAGTGCAAAAATTTGCAACACGATTAATCTCGGAACTGAGGGGTATGTCTTATGAGGAGAGGTTAAGGGAACTCAACCTGATGACACTAGAGGATAGGAGGGATAGAGGGGACATGATAACAAAGTATAAAATACTAAGAGGCACTGACAAGGTGGACAAGGATCGAATGTTTCAGAGATGGGATACAGAAACACGGGGACACAATTGGAAACTGAAAACCCAGATGAGTCATAGGGATATTAGGAAGTATTTCTTTAGTCTTAGAGTTGTCAGGAACCGGAATAATCTAAAGAGTGAAGTAGCAGAAGCAAGTTCCATAAATAGCTTTAAAAAGAGGTATGACAAATATCATAGAGCAGGGAGAGAGTGAATTAGTATCGACCAGTGAAGAGGCGGGGCCAGGAGCTATGACTCGACCCCTCTAACCACATATAGGTGAGTACACACACACACACACACACACACACACACACACACACACACACACACACACACACACACACACACACGCACACACACACACACGCACACACACACACACACACACGCACACACACACAAACAAACACACACAGAATTGGCAGGAAAGTCAAGAAATGAAATGATGGAATACGTAACAACAAATTGTAAGGAGATAGAGGAAAAGTTTGTTTCCAAGGGCAATAGAAATAATGGGAAGACCAAAGCGAGTCCTTGGTTTACCCGAAGGTGTAAGGAGGCAAAAACTAAGTGGACCAAAGGATGGAAGAGGTACAGGAGGCAAAGGACCCAGGAAAATAAAGAGATTAGTCGAAGAGCCAGAAAGGAGTATGCACAGATGAGGGAGGCCCAGCGACAGTACGAAAACGACATAGCATCGAAAGTCAAGTCTGACCCGAAACTGCTGTATAGCCACATTAGAAGGAAGACAACAGTCAAAGACCAGGTGATCAGGCTGAGGAAAGAAGGTGGAGAACTCACCAGAAACGATCAAGAGGTATGTGAGGAGCTCAACATGAGATTTAAAAAAGTTTTTTCAGTGGAGATGGGAAAGGGCCCCTTTTGGGGGACAAAAACAGGGGGGGGACACCAAAAAGGGAAATTAAAAAACAAGTGTTGGATGCTTTCAAAACAACGGGAGGAGGAGGGGGAAGAAGTGCAAAGGGCTTTGATCCTAAAAGGGGAATGGGCCCAGAAAATTCCCCCGGGTGGGTTCCAATGTTGTGTGGCCACAAACCAAAAATTTTCAAAAAACACCCCTTGAAACGGGGGCAACTACCTGAGGTATGGAAGACTTTTAAATGTAATTCCCATATTTAAAAAAGGAGACGGGAAAGGGGGCCACTGAGCAAATTAAAACCCAGACCTTTGTCACTGACGTGTATTGTATGCAAAGTCATGGAGAAGATTTAAACAGGAGGGAGGGGTGGAGCACTGGAACAGAACAAGAGAATAAACGCGAACCCGAAAAGGATTTTTTTAAGGGAATTTCCCGTTCACAAAAATCTGGAGTTTTATGATAAATAAAAGAAGAAGACACGAGGAGGGGGGGGGTTTGGTTGGGTTGCTATTCATGGGCTGCAAAAAGGGCCCTTTTGATACAGTTTCTCACAGGAGATTAGAGGAAGCTAGGGTTTAGGCGAAAGAACAGGGAAAGTGCCCCTGCAAAGGATCCGGGGGATATCTGCGGGAGGCAACAAGAGTCATGGTACGAGATGAGGTATCACATGGGCACCGTGACGAGAGGGTCAAAAGGTGAGCCTTGGGGCCGTGCTATTTTGGGATTCTGAATGACTGTTTGGAAAAGGGTTTTGATTCAAAAATTGTCCCTGTTTGCAGATGAGGGGAAAATTAATGGAATTAAAACAAAAATGAGGATAAGGGGAGGACTTTTAAAAAGAACCCGGACAGGCTGGACACTTTTGGGCCAGCAAATTTGGGTTCTCGAATTTTTCCCCCCCAAATTAAAGTCATGAAGATCGGGGGGAAGGGAAAGAAGACCGGGACTGAGTATTTGGGGTAGGTGGCCAAAAAACTGCCCCCAAAACCCGTCAAAGGGGAAAAATCTTGGGGGGAGTATAACACCCAGATATTCTGGGACACATAACCCCGATAGGGTTTTTGCAGCATAAGGGGCCTGGCAAAACCCGAGAACCGCATTCCGAAACCTTTGTAAGGAATCGTTCAAGACCCCCTGTTTCACCCTGTACGTAAAAGGCCCTTTTGGAGGGATGCAGCACCTGTTTGGCCCACCCCAAGGTTAGTCCCCGAGTTAAAGGGGAATGTCCTACGAAAAAAAAGGTTAAGGGAAATCGGGCCCGACGACATGGAGGACAGGAAAGGGTTTAAAAAAGCCCTGTAAAAATACAAAATACTGCGTGGGGGAAAAGACAAGGTGGACAGAGACAGGATGTTCCAGAGACGGGACACAGAAACAAGAGGTCACAATTGGAAGTTGAAGACCTAGATGAGCCAAAGGGATGTTAGGAAGTATTTTTTCAGTCATAAGTAGTCAGGAAGTGGAATAGCCCAGCAAGTGAGATAGTGGAGGCAGGAACCATACATAGCTTTAAAATGAAGCATGATTAAGCTCATGGAGCGGGAGAGAGAGGACCTAGTAGCACTCAGTGAAGAGGCGAGGCCAGGAGCTGAGTCTCGATCCCTGCAGCTACAATTAGGTGAGTACAATTAGGTGAGTACACACCACATACACACCAGCACCAGTTTGGAACCCACACCTGGTCAAGGACATCAAGAAATTGGAGAAAGTGAAAAGGTTTGCAACAAGGTTATTTCTGTAGCTCAGAGGAATGTCTTACAAAGAAAGGTTGAGGGAAATCGACCTGACGACGCTGGAAGACACGGGGTCAGGGAAGACATGATATCGACATTCAAAATACTGAGTGGAATAGATAAGGTGGACAGAGACAGGATGTTCCAGAGATGGGACACTGAAACAAGGGGTCACAATCGGAAGCGGAAAACCCAGGGAGCAGAGAGAGAGAGAGAAGAGGGACCTAGTAGTACATAAGAACATAAGACATAAGAACATAAGAATGTAGGAACACTGCAGAAGGCCTTACTGGCCCATACGAGGCAGGTCCTTATCAAAACGACATCTGTGTGGAAAAAGACACTTATGTACAGTTCAGGACATTTATTAAAGGAAACGTTTCGCCACGAGTGGCTTCTTCAGTCCTATTAGGACTGAAGAAGCCACTCGTGGCGAAACGTTTCCTTTAATAAATGTCCTGAACTGTACATAAGTGTCTTTTTCCACATCTTGTCGGTATCACCATACCATTTCCTCAAAACGACATCTACCTAAAGCTACTCAAGAAACAACTCCCGCACCCCCAACACCATCAAACCCAGCCCTCCCGCTCATATATTTGTCCAGTCTCTTCTTAAAGCTAACCCAAGGTCCTAGCTCTATCACCCCACTGGGAAGACTGTTCCACGCATCTACAACTCTGTTAGAAAACCAGTACTTACCTATGTCCTTTCTAAATCTAAATTTATCCAACTTAAATCCTTATTCCTGGTTCTTACCTGGAGCTGAGTCTCGACCCCTGCAATTACAATTAGGTGAGTACACTCATACACACACACACACACACGCACACACACACACACACACACACATATATATATATATATATATATATATATATTATATATATATAAATATATATATATATATATATATATATATATATATATATACATGCAAAACAACCACTCTGAAAGAATAGAGAAATTCCAAGCGCTTTCGTGACTACTCACATTATCAAGGAACTATGAAAGTGAAGCATCCAAGGAAGCTATATAAGGGGTCGGCCAGCACCTCACTATCAGACCCCACAACGGTTAAACACGTGACGCGCGGCGAGCCAACTTGGACGGGTCCTTTGCAAAACTCACCCCAAGCTTTTTAAATTGTCCAGTGTTTTAATTTAAATTTACCCAAATTCTATTAATTATAAATGGATCTAATTTATAAAAACCCAAAAGGGAAATATTCATATTATTGTCAAAACTGCTTTTTATGAAAAAAGATTCAATTATTTTTCCCTGTCGCCCATGGACTTGCTTGATACTACTTTCTCAATTTTTTTGAAAATCAATGTTCTTATTACGGAAAGAAAATTTACTGACCATCTTTCGCAATCGAGACATTTTTCATTTCAGCTTTTATAGCAGAGGGTCTGAGAGAGAAGGAGAGAATAGAAAATTAACTTTAAAAAACAATATACATTTATTACTAAGAATTTCGTATTAAAGTTAAAATATGAGATAAATATTAAAACTGATGGTAAATACATAAATTTGCTGTCAGTATTAGAATATAAGATCGCACAAGTATATCAAGAAGCAACAATCAGCAAATGTGCAGATGAAACTACCACCAGGATATCAACAAGCAAGGAACAAACACGGATCTGACCAGCCTCAGGATATTAAGAAGCAAGTAACACACATGTACCAGACCAGCACCAGGATATAAACAAGCAAGGAACACACATCGATCTTACCAGCACCAGGATATTAACAAGCAAGGAACACATATGGATCTTACCAGCACCAGGATATTAACAAGCAAGGAACACATATGGATCTTACCAGCACCAGGATATTAACAAGCAAGGAACACATATGGATCTTACAAGCACCAGGATATCAACAAGCAAGGAATACACACATGGGACCAGACCACAGCACCAGGATTACAACAAAGCAAGCAACACACATGGGCCTACCAGCACCAGGATATCAACAAGCAAGCAACACACATGGACCAGACCAGCACCAGGATATCAACAAGCAAGCAACACACATGGACCAGACCAGCAATTATATTAACAGTGACACACAAGGAAAGCTGACATCTAAAACCGGTATTTCAGTAAGCAATGACACACAAGACATAAGAGTCAAACGTCAATGAACATATTTCCAAACTGTGAGACACAGGTACAGAAGTACCACCAGAATATTAACAAATAGTAACCCAAAGTGGAGACCTTTATGATATACTTTCAGCATATTACAGAGTAGTGACGCACAAGAACGTCTTCCTCGCCACTTGAACTTCCACTTGTGCTGATGTCTCTGTAATCAACTAATAAAGCTACAGCTCTGATCAATAAAGATTCCTAGTTTTTCCCTTGTGTCTTACTCCTGAGCATCATGTATCGAAAGTAACTGCCACACAAGTGACGAGGTTTGGACTATCACCAGTTAATCAACCACATATCAAGAGTTAGTGACACACAAAGACTGAAAGTTCACACTACGCCACTAAATTATTAATTAGTGACCCACAAGACTGAAGATTTGAATCACCACAGTAAATCATTAATCAGTGACACACAAGACGAAAGGTTCAGATCATCAGCAAATCAACATTCATGATGAACTGCTGAAGGTTAAGGCCGCCACCAATAAATCTTGAAGCAGTGACACACAGACCTTCATAACTACACCAACTAGCCAGAAGGCTCAGACCACCACAGCAGTGACTCTCAAGACTTGAAAACAAACCAAGAGGTTATCAGCACGCATTGACCTACAGTGATCAAACCTCAAGTATATGAAAAACCGTGACACTCGTAACTTTACGATCAGACCCTTAGAAATAAAAAAAGCAGTGACCTAGACAGACCAAACTATCACCAGTTTATCAAAACTCAGTGACACACAAGGATCAGAAGAGCGTTAGTATAGCTATGAAAATTTTTCATAAATTTCCTATGATTTATATGTAATAATTGATAGGGATAATAATATTTATATAATAATGTAGGTGTATAATGTGCAAAAAAAGGTATAAAATACCGACAATATGAAAGTTAAGACACATGTGCAACATCTGGATATCTTTATTGTAGACGTTTCGCCATCCAGTGGCTTTATCAATACATATTCTAGGACATAATAGGAAGACAGTAGAACTATATACAATAAAGATATCCAGATGTTACACATGTGTCTTAACTTTCATATTGTCGGTATTTTATACCTTTCTTGCACAACTTGTCAGACACTGCAACATCATGGAATCTTGGTTCACAGGACATCTACAAGACCTTCTTCACGGCTGCTGCAACTTACCATCTCTTTTGTGTAGGACCTACTGTACTTCCACTGGGGAATCCCGCCTACCAGTGACTATGCCCTCGTCTGCTGCCCGTCCCTATCCACTGACACCTATATAACCGCCAGTCTTCTTGCCTTTGCTCCAGATTCTCCTCCACCACGATGCTGTGAACACTAACTCCAAGGTTGAGGGACTGATTACCTCATCTTTTGTATATAGTTCTACTGTCTTCCTATTATGTCCTAGAATCTGTATTGATAAAGCCACTGGATGGCGAAACGTCTACAATAAAGATATCCAGATGTTGCACATGTGTCTTAACTAGGTGTATAATGTTGACGTGACTTTTAAAAGGTGATAAGTCACAGGGGAATCAGTATATCCTTCATAATTGCCTATTTTTTGTAATCATCTAAAAAAGTAAAATGTAATTAATATTCTGAAAAGGGGAAAATTTGTTACACACTTAGAATTATTACAAAATTTAAAATTTAAAAATAGGTGTTAAAACCCCCCCCTTTTGGGCGGTTAGGGGGAAGAATGTTTCTCAAATAAAAAATTTAAAGGGTGAAGAAAAAACCCATCGGGAAAGCTTTTCCAGATTAAACCATCCACGGGCGGTGTTTGAACCCGTGATAAAAGGGGTTTTTAAAAAACCCCAGACCGACCCGTTACCCACAAAAAAACCAGTAAAATTTTGGGTGAGTCCGATAAATAAAAAAAAGGCGAAAAAGGAAAGTTATTGAGGGGAAAAACGGGGAGGCAGTAGCTAAAGGGAAAAGCCATATTGGCTACTGCATGTTTTTAACCCCCCCCAAAAACAGGTAAGGTAACTAGGTGGTAAAAAAACCTGGTAAAAAAATACCGAAAAGTTGGTTTTGAAAGAAGTAAGAAAACATAAAACATTTTTATTAGAAAACGTTAAAGGCCCCGGGCCAAAAACGTTTTCTAATAAAATGTTTTAGGGGTTTGTTTTACGTGTCTTTCAAAAACCCAAGGTAACTGGGTATTGACCAATTTTTGGTTGTTTTTCCCTTTTGGAAAGGCATTTCGATTTGCCCCAAAAAGTTTGGTTTAAAGTTTTATGTTCTTCATTTTTTAAATTTTTAATTTAATAATGTTTAATAATTCAAAAAGGGTTTAGCTAAAAAAAAATTTATTTTAAAGCATTAAGGCTATTCAAATTCAAATGATTAACACCCGGGTTTTTTTGCCCGAAAATTTTTTTTTAAATTATGAAGAACATATGTTCCTTTTTTCCAAACGAGCCCAGAGTTATTTGGAGAGGGAAGACGGGGGAATTTAAAGGGGGAGAGCTTTATTTGTGACCCCAATGTTCCAAAAGGCCCCAAAAGTCCCCAAGATACATCACCCATCGTAAGTTAAAATTTTGTCTTGGGTCAAAAGTTCTCCTCAAATTTGTGCGGGGGGGAAAGTTAATTCGAGTTTCGGTTCGTTGAACAAATCCCCAAATTTTCCTAAAAACACCAAAATCCTTTGCATAAAAAAACACACCAACTCCGAATTTCACGAAAATTGAAGGCCAGTAAATAAAAAGTTTGGGCCAAGCAGTCCCTTAAAGGCCCAGTCTTTCTTTAGTATAAAAATTCAGAAAGTGAAAAGGGAAAAACATGAGGGCTAGCCCCAACATCCAGTTTATCAGGGAAGCAGGGGAATCACCAAAAAGTAGGAGCAAAATGTTTGGGGGGGAAATGACCAAATTTGTTTTACCTAGGAGGAGCGCCCCAAAGCAAACAGTGGTTCAGGGTTTTGGAGGGGTTGGTATTGGGAGGTGGATACAATGTCATTCAGTCTTTGTCCCCTGATTTTCCCCTTAACTTCAACTAAAGGAAACCCAAAATGTGGGGCCCCCGGCTCCCTGGGAGCATTCCGTTGTTGTTGTTCACTCTCTCGGGAAAAGATCCGATACCCTTAGTTGTCGGGGACGTTTCATTTTTTTTAAAAACCCTTTAAATTTAAAAACCCTTCGCAAAACGATTTACTTGATTTTTTGCTGTTCTGTGGTATAAAAAATTTTTTTATGGCATACACACAAAAGTTTTTTTATGCGAGTTACTATATGCAAGGGGTTAAAAACGGGTTTTCCAGGATTCCTACTTTTTCAATCAGGGGGAAATCAAGCTTTTAAAATGGGAAAAGAAATTTTAATTTGGGCCTCTTTGATGTGCAGGTACAGTACAGATAAGAAACATTTAAGGGTTTAATACTAGGGAAAAAAAAAAAAAGTTTCTGGGACGCCGGGCAGTAAACAAAAAGAAAAAAGGGGAAATAATATTTTTAGGTCGTGGTTTAAAAGGGGGAAAAAGTCAGGAATTTGTGAGCGGTAATGTTCAGGATCAACTATGGAAACTAAATGGGGGTTTTAAAGACTTAAATAAAAGTATTAAGGGATGAAAAAATGCCGGGATATGAGAAGTGGTTATGTAAGATTTATGTTTTGGCGCGAGAGATAGTAGAGGACAGTTTTTGGGAGTTTTGAAAAGGGAGAATTTTTCTTGTGGGGATTTAAATTTAAAAAAGTAGGAGAGACTGTTGTAGTGGTGTAGTAGTATAAAGAGTTATTGTTCATTTTTTTTTAATTTTTACAATGCAGTAATTTCACCAAACAAGAAATATTCTCTTTATCTCTCTGCTTTGGGGTTGCCCAATATTAAAGATGGGACAAAATTCCCATTCTTTTTAAAAAAAACATTTTCAAATTTTCTCTTTGCAAGTTTAACCCCCCCTTAAATTCCACCCGCAACAAAAGCCATAAATGAGATATGTTCGTTTCCCAAACCAGTGATTTCGTGTTATATAATATAAGGGGCTGAATGTGAGGGAATTTTTCTTCAAAAATTAGCAAAAGTTTCCCAGTTGAAAGTTGCCCCCCCGAGTTTTAAAACATCGTATTGAAAGTACAAATGGTTTAATTATTGATCATTTTTTATATGATTTCATAAACAACCATTACCATAAAATTTTTTCTGGTATAATTTTTTATTCATAATCACATGAGGCCATTCGATCCAAATATTAGGATTTTAAAAAAATTTTTTTTCAAAAAGTTTCACAGCCAATGGGACTCCAAACTTGA